AAATCCATAATTAAAGAAGAAAGTAAGTCTTTCCTTCTTACCCTTTATACTACTAATACATATTTTGTCTTGAATTAAGAAAGGTTTCTTCTTCTAATGTTTTTGGCAATTAACAAAGTTTTTTGTGGCTTTCAGGAAAAGAAAAGCTTTTTACATCTTTGTTGAGGCACTAAATCTGAGAATTGGTAGAAATTTCAATCGTAATCAATCGGCGGCATTAAATTATCCGAAACAATGGTGGATGGTTGGACATCAACGAAATAATGCGAATACAGAATAATTAAGAAGAAGAAAAACGGTTGTTCAATAAAAAAAATGGTCTTGAAGGAATCACGTGTGTCGTGCAAGGTTGCAGGGGGAACCATCCGGCGCCCCCGTTTGTGAAGAAGGTAATAGGAACAAGAAAAAGTATGTAAAAAGACAATGATTCTCAATCAAGACACTTCTTGAAGTAAAATGTAGAGGCAACACTATTGTTTTAGAGAGAGATATCAATGTCGATTTAATAATAAAAAAGTCGTGGATTTTAATTTATTGATTGTACCCAAGTAGCGTTTTCTCTTTGATTTTTACGCCTTTATATAAAAGCACCTCTTAATCGAAAAAGCCGATGATTTGAAATTAAGTGGATTAATCCTTCACCTAATACAACTTTTTTCTCTCTTGGTAGGGGCGAACGTAAGCAAAGGTCAAGCCAATCGTCACTAATTGAATAGTTAAATCGTAAGATTTTAACATATTTGAACCGATGATCGTATAAATGGAACCGTAAATCATACAATCGAAATGTACACGAGTGTATAATTCGAATCATACGTTATAAATGTTTGTCTCCATACCCAAATCCAAAAAAACTGTTATATATTTAAAAACGATGTTAAGTTCTTGAAAATATTTTACAGATGAGATCGGTCGAAATTTCTCACCGATAAATCGAGCTAATAATTAAACAACCATCCAAATCTAAACTTGAGCGAGAAGTCATCGTTCCTAACAACGTCTCAAGATCATTTAGCAAATTGAATTATGGTTTTAATTTGGAGGTTTTAACAGCATTTGGAGACGGAACATTATCCGAGAGGTACAAGCTGTCCCTGTTTGAAATTGAGGGAGCATTTTTGGTCGGACCCTACAATCCAGAGGAGTTAATTGTACTTAATTACCCCTTAATAATATTATCGAACACAAAATTGAAACATATTTAATTTTGGGACAAAATACATTTCACCCCTTTATAACCAAATTTTGCACTTTTCCCCCTTAAAACTGAAAAAAAAAAAGAAAAAAGAAAAAAAGAGGTGTCCCCTTTTCAAATATTGTTCATGTTGCACTTTCCCCCCAAAACCATGATCCGGTGTATTTTCCACCGGCATTTACATTTTTCCGTCAACTTGAAGGGTATACGAGTCATTTTAGGGAATTTATGAATAATTTTCCTGAGCTTAATTAATTAATTTAATTGTCGATATTTTTGCCGGAAAATCAACCATGTGATTATCACGTACCAATTGAAGGGCAAAATTGTACTTTCAGTTAAACATGACAATAACGGTTAGGGTTAATAGCATTTCGCCACCTGGACTTTGCCCGTTTTTGCACTTTGCCACCTTAACTAAAAAAAGTTGCAAGTGCCCACCCAAACTCAGTTTTTTGACGCACATAACCAGCTGAGGGGAATATTCCGGCGAATCTTCTAATTTTCCAGGCACGCGCGATGCACATGCGAAAGTACAAGGGCTTTTTCGTCTTTTTACTTGAAAATGTCATAAGGGGGTGAAATTGAAAATACCAGGGACTCAATTGAACTTAATTTGAAACTTTCACAAATTCAAAATTAAGAAGCTCTGTGGCTTCATCTTCCGTGGGATCAAAACACCCACCGCCTGGGCCCGGTGAACACCTGATATTGGTAATTGATGGAATCGGTGTAGATGTAAATAATATTGATAATAACCGGAGCAACCATCGAATCTGTTACGGTATGGACAGATCAAGAAGCGGCAGTGAATCTCCGGTGACCAGTAATCTTTCCCCAAATAAACCACCAACGAGGTCGATTAGATTGGATCGCGACCGTAATGGGAGCCTCGGTAATTTGCTGGACGAGGGTTCGCATTGTAACGGGGCGGAAGATGTTAACACAAAGAATTTGGATGACGGGAAGGAGTTTGTGGTGAACGAGTTGAGGGAGGATGGGATGTGGGAAAAGATTAAGGAAGTGGGAACTGGGCGTCAGCTTACGATGGAGGAGTTTTCGATAGAGATGTGTGTCGGCACTTCACCGATTGTTCAAGAATTGATGAGGAGGCAGAATGTTGAAGATGGGAACAAGTATGGTTTTAGTCTTCGATTTGGGCCCCCAACAATTCGTGGGAAATCGGTTCGCCGGTCATGAAAAGGTACCTCGGCGACGAGGAAGAACAGTGGTACATGCGGTACCACAGGCTATCCGGCGAGAATCCGAAATCCGATTCAATCACTTCCGGAGTTGGGTTCTTCGTCTCTCTCATCCATGGCGAATTTCAGCAGATTGATGTCGTTGTTCTTCTTTATCTCTTTATCGGAGATTTTTTTCCATTTTGAAACAGGCGTGCAGTGGTGGGTGTTTTTATCTCATGGAAGATGAAGCCACAAAGCTTCAATTAATTTCAAATTTGTGAAAGTTTCAAATTAAGTTCAATTGAGTCCCTGGTACTTTCAATTTCACCCCCTTATGATATTTTCAGGTGAAAAGACGAAAAAACCCTTATACTTTCGCATGTGCATCTCGCATGCGTTGAAAAATGAGAATATTCGCCGGAATATTCCCCTTAGGTGGTTATGTGCGTCAAAAAACAGAGTTTGGATGGGCGCTTACAACTTTTTTTAGTTAAGATGGCAAAGTGCAAAAACGGGCAAAGTTCAGGTGGCGAAATGCTATTAACCCTAACGGTTAACCCACCATTTTCTCCTTTCAATTTTAATCAAGAATGACTAGTCAACCATTGCTGACCCCATTTTTCTTTTTTGAGACTTCATTTTCTTTCTCTCGCCTTTTTTTATTGTCCTAAGTTGAATTCAAAAAGCGGGTTTGGTGTGCCGGTCCAAATATTTTAATTAAGATGGTAAAATACTATTAATCCAATAATGAAAGCTAATTATCATCTGTAATGGTGACATACATACTGAAGTTGATGCATTTAATACAGCTGGGGTGAATGAATTGTTCAAATCTGCATGAAAAATTTATCAGAAGTAGCATGAAAAATCTCTATTTTCTCGCACTTCTGAATATGGATTTGTTTTATACTGGAAAATTTGTTTTATATGGACTCGGAAGGAATCTCTTCTATTTCTTTTATTTATTTTTGGGCTAAATACAGTTTGCACCCTTAAACTATAAGGATGGTAACACTTACCCCCTTAAAGTTACAAATGTAACACTTACGCCCCTCATTAATGAATTTAAAGGTATAACTTTGACTTTGAATGATGTGGCATTTTTTCTTTCCAAATTGTCCTTCTAGCCATTAAATAAATAATGAATATGTAATAATAAAAAATTCGGCAACTTTGGCAAAACTTAATTTTATTATTTCAATATTGTAAATCTATGAATGAAAAAAATTGAATTTTAGTTTATTTTTGTTTTACCTTGTGTTCATTTGTAGCTAATAAAAAATTAACGATTATTCGAATTTTAAGTATAATTTTATAGTTTATATAGTTATTTTAATGCGTATATGACTCTAATATAATCATCTCATTTTTTACTTGGAGAATCACAAAATGTATTCAAAAGTTAATAAGAAATTATAATTTAAACGTCTAAATATTTAAATATTATTTTATTAAAATTTATATTTAAGTAACTTAAATAAATTTTCAAATCAATAATTATTATAAAAAAATTGGCCATTTAAGTCTTGAATATTTTTTTTTTCGCGAATGTTTAACGTATTTTATATATTTTTTAAAATATTGAGATTTTTATTTATATTAGGGTCTATAGTAATTAAAATGTGGAGTTAAACATAAATCAAAATATTTTTTTAATAATTATTATATTTTATAAATTTTAGTTTTTGAAATATTATTGAAACTATTTTATTATATATGCATCAATATAATAGCTAGAAGGACAATTTGGGAAGAAAAAATGCCACATCATTCAAAGTCAAAGTTTTATCATTAAATTCATTAATGAGGGGGTAAGTGTTACATTTGTAACTGTAAAGGGCAAGTGTTACCACCCCTAGTTTAAGGGTGCAAAGTGTATTTAGCCCTTTATTTTTATATGGATTTGTTTAAAGGAGAAGTTTGGCAGTATATCTGAAATCCCATTTTTTATTCAGGCAACTTTTGAGTAGTATATTAGATTTGTTTTATTTTGATTAAAAAACTTTCGTAAATGTTGACCAGAATCATTGTTCTGAAAACCAATTTGATTACCTAGAGAGAGAGAGAGAGAGTGAGAGAGAGAGAGAGGAAGAAGAAGAAGAGAGCAAGTTAATTAGAGATGGCGGCCTATGCAGCTCTACTTTCTCTCAAGTATATCATCCAACAGATTCAACTTCATCCTTGCCCTCCAATTTCTTTTGATCAAAACCAGGTTGATTCTCGCACCGACAACCTCAATTTCTTGCAAGATTTTCTTGAAGGTTATTCGAACGGCAGCAGCATCAGCAGAGAAGCAGTAGATGTTTTGGAAAGTCGTATTAAAAATACAGCTCTTGCGGCAGAAGATCTAATCGAAACCCGAGTTGTCCATCAAATTCACGGTGGATCGACTGCTCATGGCGAAAATATCAGTTCCAGTGACTTCCATCAAGATCTGGAGATGGTAATCCAAGACATGGGTTTCATGAAGAAAGATGTGATGGAGATTAAAGAGAATCATATTGGAATTGAAGATCACCTGCTCAGAAATTCATCTGACACTTGGTGGTGCCGGTTCATCAAGCTCACCTTCGACGAGGCTGAACGCCATGGTTGGTTTTGATGATCTCTTAATTGAAGTAATGGATAAGCTCACTGGACAACAATCTAATCTCTGGATAATCCCGATTGTTGGTATGGGCGGCATTGGTAAGACTACTCTTGCTAGAAATGTTTATGCTAAGCCGCTCATTATGCAACACTTTGATATTCGAGCTTGGGTTACAGTATCTCAAAACTACAATGTGGAAGATATTCTTATAGAAATTCTTCTTTGTATTAGCAAAGACGAGAGCCTCGAAAGCTTGAGTGCGAAGAGCGAAGGTGAATTAGGTGAAAGAATACACAAAACTTTATGGGGCAGGAGATATTTGATTGTATTGGATGATATTTGGAGTGCTGAGGCATGGGATAAAGTGAATCTCTTCTTTCCAGAAAATGGTCAAAGAAGCAGAATAATGATGACCACTAGGCTATCAGACGTTGCTTCGATTGGCTCTCACGGTATTGTGATGGATTTTTTAAATGAGGAAAAGAGTTGGGATCTACTGTGCAGATATGTATTTGAAGAAGAAGACGATTGCCCTCCTGAATTGGAGGAAATAGGAAAGAAGATTGCCAAAAATTGCGAAGGACTTCCTTTGTCAATAGTTGTGATTGGAGGACACCTAGCGAAGTCTGAGCGCACAAGAGAACATTGGGAATATATTTCAGAAAACACAAACACAATTGTAAATTCGGAAGACAACGAGCGTTGCTTAAAAGCATTACAATTGAGTTATAACCTTTTGCCGGTACATCTAAAGCCATGTTTTCTTTATATGGGAGTTTTTCCGGAGGGCAACATGATCCGTGTCTCGTGGCTCGTAAAACTATGGGTTTCTGAAGGATTTGTGAAACCAATTAACTGCAAAAGCTTGGAAGTGGTTTCAAGAGAGTACTTGCAGGAGCTCTGTGATAGAAACCTGATTTTAGTTCATAAAAGGGGGTCTAATGGAAATATAAAATATTGCAAAATCCATGATCTGTTGAGGGATTTATGCTTGAGAGAAGCTGAGAGAGAGAAGTTCCTTTATGTCAGAAGACCGCATGAACCTACCATTCCACGGGTCATAAATACCCAACGCCGCATTGGTATTCATCAAAGCATGTCGGAGAAGGATTATCACCCTGATCCAGTCCTTCGTACATTGCAATATGTGCCTCTTGTTCGTTCTTTGATTTGCAATTTTGAAGAACGTTTACCATTACTTGATTTTAGATTGTTGAGGGTGCTGAAAGCTGATGATAAAAAGTCATATATCGATAACAGCAGACAAAATGAATATTCAGTAGATGTTGTCTTTCGGCTAGTTAACCTGAGGTTCATTGCTATCCGATCTGACAGGCCTAAAAGTACCGGATTTCCTTCTTCAGTCAATCTCCTTTGGAATCTACAAACTTTAATTGTAAATTGTAACTGGAGCGTTGTTGCACCATGTGAAATTTGGAACATGACTCAACTTAAGCATGTTCATTTCTATGGACTTGAGCTGCCTGATCCTCCTATCGCTGAGAAAGATGACGAGTTTATTTTGGGGAACCTACAGACGCTATCGATAATAAGAAATTTCAAATGTGGAGAAGATGTGATTAAGAGAATCCCCAATATCACTAAATTACAAATATTTTACTTTGAGGAACCTCAGGGATTTTTAAGTTACTGTCTCGACAATCTTGGCCATCTACATAAACTCGAGTCCTTGCGTTTCTCCATTTATTCCGAAAATAAGCCATCCCTGAATGATATGGTGCAGAATTTCATCCTCCCGAATTCCCTCAAGAAGTTGACTTTGATGGGGACCAATAGGGGTGAACACGGGCGGGTTTGGGCGGGTTTCTACAAAAAATCAACCCGACCCGCCATTGGCGGGTTACAAAACTAGCAAACTGCACCTGCTATTTCAAACTCACAAACTGCCTCATTCGGGTTGGTCGGGTGTAGCGCGGGTTGCGGGCGGGTTGCGGGCGGGTTGGTTAAAGAAAAAAACTAATAAAAACTTTGACAAAATTCGATAGAATTTACTCATTGAAAAACTCTCATTATATTGTTGCATTATTCTAAAAAAAACCTTTGCTGTAATTTTTTTTCCAAACCAAAATGACCGCCCTTTGGAAAAACCCCTTGCTGCAATTCTTCTTTTCTTTTTAATATAAAAAAAAAAACATCTTGCTGCAATTTTGGCAATGAAAAATAACCACTCAGCAAATAGAAAATTCCATCTACTTGATTTTTTTAATCTCTCTCCACTCTCACCTTCACTGAAGCTGCAGATGACCAAACTGGGAAGAACATATGCGGGTGATAACTAGAATGCCCAACTTTGACAGATTATTAAATATATATTATATTTATATTAATAGGAGCGGGCGGGTCACGGGTTTTAATTTTCAAACCCGCTACCCGACCCATAACAGTCGGGTATGCCTATCATCAAACTGCGGGTGATAATTTAACATGTAAAACTTGCGGGTTTCGGGCGGGTCGGCTCGGGTCGGGCGGGTGGGTCGGGTCTGGCGGGTTTATGAACACCCCTAGGGACCAAACTCAAATGGGAAGACATGAAGACAAAGATAGGTTTGTTACCCAATCTTCAAGTCCTCAAACTGAAGGTAAATTCCTTTGTAGGGACCGACTGGGAAACGATTGAAGGGCAATTCTGCAACCTTAGATACTTGCTAATCAGCTTGTGCCGTGACCTAGAGTGGTGGACAACAGACAGCAACCACTTTCCACGCCTTGAGCATCTTCATCTTCAGTTCTTGCGTAAGTTGAAGGAGATCCCTTCGTGTATTGGAGAAATATCAACGCTTCAATCGATTCAGTTGATTTGGTGTAGCAAGTCAGCTGTCAAATCTGCTAAAGAAATATTGAAGGAACAAGAGGATTTTGGCAATGTAGGCTTTCGACTCGTAGAGCAAGGATAGTCCCAACTTTCAAGTTGAATCTTGGTGAGAACTCAATCTTCATAACATGATCCTTTTGCTACTGATAAACCTCAACATATATATATATATATATATATATATATATATATATATATATATATATATATATGTGTGTGTGTGTGTGTGTGTGTGTGTGTGATAATTTTATTTTTAGGATTAAATTCTTTTAAACAAATTTGCGATCTTCTCTGTCTACATCTAGTCCAAGCACATTTGATTTTGAGTTTCTACTTTTGTTGTTTTATTTACTTTTGATTGTTTTCTTTGACGGTGTACCGCCTTACAGCCATATACAATGAACCTACATGGAGCATAAATTGAAGAATGGAGGCCCTGGATCGGATCGCTTGTCGCCTTATTGAACTTAGATTAACAATTTGGTATGTTGGAATTTACAATTCATTGTTTTAATGTTGAAGATACCTTCTTTCTGTCATTAGTTTGGCGTAAGAGTTATAGCCTCCGGTTAATTTATTGGAAGCATTTGTGTGAGCTTGTAAACAATTTCTACTTTGGTTTTCTTTCATGTAATTTCTTTTCGAGGCTTTGTAGTATTTGGTTTTTCAACATTTGAACTGGATTTTATTCTTTGTTATAGGGGTTACAAGGTTTTTACCTTTGTACTTTTTTTATATGGAATAAAACTCATTTTTCGTCCAAAAAAATAGTGTAAATTACACCCACACCCCTGAGGTATGCTTAAATAACTTTAAGGTCCTTGTGGCATCGAAAATTACACTCACCCGTGACATATTGTTAGAAACTTTAATGGAAAAATACATTGGATACGTTATTTCTATAAAACTCTAATGGTAAAATTTAGCCTCCGGTTAATTTATTGGAAGCATTTGTGTGAGCTTGTAAACAATTTCTACTATGTTTTTTTTTTATATATTTTTTCGTCCAACAAGGTCCTTTGTACTTTTTTTCTATATGGAAATAAAAGTATCTTTTTGCCCAAAAAAATAAATAAAAAAGACTCAAGGATTGTAATATTGTGTCTATTTGTGTTTACGTATTTAATAGGAGCAGAAGATTGATGCAACTCCAGGCTCCTCAGCAGGGATGTAAGCTTCTCTTTGGGCTTTATTATTTCGTGTACACAATCTTGTACTGTTTAGTTCTTCAGTTTAAACTTGTAATCTAGCAAAGATATGCTTTCTTCATCATTTAATTAAGGATAAAATGCACTTCGCCCCCTAAAAATTTCTAGTTTTCGCACTTTGCCCCCTACAAATTAAAAAATGAGACTCCCCCCTTCAACAGTTCGTTATAGTTGCACTTTGCCCCAATTGTGATTCCCAGCGGATTTTTCACCGATTTTCTCACGTGTCCGTCAATTTAAAGGGCATTTTCTCCTTTTTTATGGTATATACGTAATTTTGCATCCAAATCCTCAATATGCTGATTCTTTATACTCACGATTGCACAATTGAGCTCCAAAATTAGGGCTTCATTTTTCTCTTCAAAGGCAAAAACTTTTTAACAAAGGTAAGATTTTTACGGGTTTCATTCTTTGTGTTTAATATTCAGCTGTTGGAGCTACAATTTATGGGTGTTTAAATTTCGACCTTCTTTTCATTTTGTTAGACGAGAAAGTCAATTTGCCCACCAACATAAACACAGCTGCCAAGATCTACAAACTTGCCACCATGGTCATTTGAATAGTAAAATCATCTGCCTCACCTGCAATAAACAATACACCACGTTATTTCAAGAAGTCTGACAAATTGAATGCTAGCACACGCGGACCACTGATTTTACAAAAATCGCATATTGGTTTTAGGGTTCTATACATTACATTTGTTCTCTTTGTGCGTTTCTTCTCTCCGTTACCAACTCATACTTATTTGGTTACCATGAGCTTACTTTGTGAATGTTTAAGATTTTTTTGAAGAATATTACCAAATATTTTGAAAGAGCTTATAAGCATTTAAATATCTTCTATGATATTTTTACCATCTTATAAGCTTAACCAAACATCCTCTAGTCAAATCTGTTTCTATAATGAGAGCTATTTGAAATTATTGGCATTAGAAAGTGTTAAATATGGATCCTGAAAAGGAAATTAATCCTTCACCTAATGGCCAATGGGTAATAGTAGACACGGCCACGGACCGGGTTTGACCCGGACCCGGCCCGGACACGCCCCGTTGACGGCCCCGCTCTGTTGACCACGGACCCGAACCCACCCAAGAACGGGTCGGTTCCGGGTCCAGATATTTTTGATCCGAGACCCGACGAGTCTACCCGGCGGGGGGGCCCGAGGAGCCAAACCCGAAGACACGTCGGGTCTACACGGATTTCAGGTTTTTTTTGTCCAAAAATTGGGCTTCGGGGGATTTGAACTTGGGTAAATGGGCAGACTTAGGCAACTCTAACCAATGGGGCAACAAATATATTTGATCAAATGTAAACAATACATATATATAATATAAAAAGCTAGTGTAAAATGATAAATATATTAAATAAATTATTAATTTTTCATATTAATTATCATTAAATAATTTTAGTTAAATTATTAACAAATGCAATATAAGAAACTTATAAAAGTATATATATAATCACGGTTCAATACTTCAAAACATCTATTATTAATTACTATATAATATAATTTCCACTATTGAAAAATATAAAGTATTGAATCAATTCAATATATAAACAAACACGTTGACCTAATACAAACTCAGTTATGTTATTAAAATCGATAGTGTGAAAAATTCGAATGAAAAATAAAATAAAATGTTTATTTAAAAAAAAATAGATTATAACTCATTGCAATTAATTTAAATTGATTAACCTCAATTGTTGATAAGAACTTATTAAAATTATTGATTATTTTATCATAAGATAATTATTTAAAAATATGGATGATGTTTATTTTAACAAACATAGATTATATCTAATTCTAATTAATTTTTTACTTTAAAAATAAAACTATATATGACGAGTATAATCAAAATATTATGATGTGATTTCTCTTTTAATAATTGGTTTAATTTTTAAAAATCGTAAGAATTAAATCGTAGGTCATATCATTTAATCATTTTTTTTACATTTACATTTTATTCAAATATTAGAATCGAATCGTAAGATTTAAATGAATTAAGCTCAAGTCTTTCAATTTCTTTTATTTTTTATTATTATATTATATTTGTTAATAATTTAATTAAAATTATTTAATAATAATGAATATTAATGAATATGTTAATTAATAATCTATTTCACATTATTTATTATAATCATTTTACACCTTTTTTTATGTTATATATATTCCTAGTTATAATAATCCTAATTATATATATACAAATATAAATAACACTGTAAAATGATTGAATAATAATTGTATAACTAATGTTTTATAAATTATTAATTGTCATGTTGACTATTATTAATATCAAAAATCTCGACTAATAACAAATGCATATATATTTGATTTTAAAAGATATAAAAAAATAAGATTTAATTTAAAAGAAAGATTGAATTTTGATATTTTTTGAATTTTGAAATTTTGAAAAATTTCTCAATTATTACTTTCACTTATAAATACCCATAATTCAATTTTCACAACTTTCATTTTATTTTGTTTATGTCTCAAAGTCTTAATCGTTTCTTTTTTTTAAATTCAATCATTTTTTTAATTATTACTTTCACTTATAAATACTCATAATTCAATATTTTTTTAATTTTAAATTTAAAGTTAATCTCATATTTTTTTCAAGTTTCAATATAAGTTTTTTTTCTTTCTTGGAAAAAAAAATGAAAAACCGGGTGGACCCGGACCCGGATGGACCTAGGTGGACCCCGCCCCGGACCCGGACCCACCTCCCCGCGGGTCGGTTTCGGGTCCCTTATAAGTTGGACCCGCACCCGACCCGCCCCGTGGCCATGTCTAGATAATAGTACTTTCACCCATGTGATTCTCACGTGGCAGTTGAAGGGCAAAATTGTACTTGCACGTGACACTGACGCACCATTTTCTCCTTTCAATTTTCAACAATAATGAGGGTTAATTGCAAATACCACCCCTGTGAAATCTCTAATTGTCAAATACCCCCTATCAAAAAAAAATTCACCCATACCCCCTTGTGTAACATGTTTTGAAGCTGCACCCTATTGTCATTTTAAACTTTGACCAAGTATAAAAAGACGAGAATGCCCCGGGGATTTATTGCAATTAGTAAATCATATTAGTGTTTTAACATTTTTTTAATAGTTTTTCAATTCTAAATAAAAAATTCAAAACATAATAATAATAATAATAATAATAATAATAATAATAATAATAAAAATAATAATAATAAAAATAATAAAAATAAATAATAATAATAAAAAATTAAAAAAAATATTAAAAAAAATGAGAAAAGATTTTCGTTCATCTTGTTCCAGCATCCCACCCCCACGCACTACCCCACCCTTCTGCGCCGCCGCCGCCACCACCACCACCACCATATCTTCATCTTGTTTCCTAGCAGCATTCCACCCCCAAGCACTACCCCACCCTCCTGCGCCACCACCAGGCTCACCACCACCACCATATCTTCATCTTGTTTCCTAGCAGCATTCCACCCCCAAGCACTACCCCACCCTCCTGCGCCACCACCAGGCTCACCACCACCACCACTTCTTCGATCCACCTCACAAACCCCAAGCAAAAAATTTCAACATTTAATCCACTCATTTTGTGGCTTGATGAAAAATATAAAATTGCACCTAAAATTAGGTTATATTAACATTATTTTCTCTCGATTTCTTCCTCTAAATCTACCAAATATGGAGGATTGGACAATCTTCTTACAATTGAGGTCGCCGCCATGCCGCGACGGTGGGTTGTGAGACCGGTGCGGCGGCAACGGTCATCCTTGGAGTTCTAGAGTCTAGAAAGCACTTATGTCTGTGGTTTCTACAGATTTTCCGGGCTAATCTTTGACGGGGTTGGGTTTGAGGAAGATGAAGAAGGAAGGAGAGGAAAGAAAAAAGAAGGGGAAAAAAAAAGAAAAAAAGAAAAAAAAGGCTTGGGGTGTTTTGGGGGTATTTCTGACATTTCATACGCAAAAAGGGTGAAAAAATCGCACTAGCAGCGCGTGAGGGACACGATTTGTTCCGAGGGGTCTCGGTGCCTTGACTTTTGTTACACAGGGAGATATGAGTGAATTATTTTTTGATAGGGGGTATTTGACAATTAGAGATTTCACAGGGGTGGTATTTGCAATTAACTCACAATAATGACTTAGTCAGCCATTGTTGCCCCCATTTCTCTACACCATTCATTTTCTTTCTCTCGCATTTTTTTATTCTCCTAAGATAAACTCATACTATAGTACTACAGAGGACTCTCCATCACTGAGCAAAGATAGAGCAATTCTTCTTGATTCTCCACCTCAAGAATTGTTCTGAAAACCAATTCGATTTTCGATAGAGAGAGAGAGAGAATGCAAGTTACAGATGGCGGCTTACGCAGCTCTACTTTCTCTCAGGCATATTATCGAACAGCTTCAGCATCACCCTTTCCCTCCAATTTGTCTTGACCAAAACCAGATCCAATCTCTCACCGACAACCTCAATTTCTTGCAGGAGTTTCTGGAGCAGGGATATCCTTGTGTTGGCAGCAGCAAAGAAGCATTAGATGTTTTTGAAAGTCGAATTGCAGATGCAGCTCATGCAGCCGAAGATATGATCGAGACCCGTGTTGTTGATCAAATTCTTGCTGAATCGACTGCTCAAGCGTCGAAAGATATAACCGAAACCTGGGTTTGTGATCAAATTCTTGGTGGATCAAGAAAAAGGAAGAATACTAGAATGCAAGATCGTCTGCGCAGGATTTTGTCGATTTTTCGTGGTGCTGGTTCATCAAGATCTCCTTCAACGAGGCAGAATGCCGTAGCTGGTTTAGATGTCGTGGAAAAAATCAGTTCCGTCGACTTGTACCGAGATCTCGATAAGGTGATCCAAGACATGGGTTTAATCAAGAAAGATGTGATGGAGATTAAAGATAATAATATTGGAATCGAAGATCACCTGCACATGAATTCTTCAAGTCTTGCTGGTGCTGCTTCGTCAAGCTCTCATTTAACAACGAAGCAGGAAACCATGGTTGGTTTTGATGGGCGGTATTGGTAAGACTACTCTTGCTAGAAATTCTTACGCTAAGCCACTCATTGTGCATCACTTTGATGTTCGTGCTTGGGTTACAATATCTCAAAATTATCATGTGCAAGATATTCTTATCGAAATTCTTCTTTGTGTAAGCAAATACGAGAGCCGCAAAATCTTGAGTGGGAAGAGTGAAGGTGAATTAAGTGAAAGAGTGCATAAAAGTATATGGGGAAGGAGATATTTGATTGTACTGGATGATATTTGGAGTGTTGAGGTGTGGGATAGAGTACAAATCTTCTTTCCGGATAATGGTCAAGGAAGTAGAGTAATGATAACAACTAGGCTGTCGAACGTTGTTTTTCAGATAATTGGCTCTCATGGCCTCGTGATGGATTTCTTAAACGAGTATAAAAGTTGGGAGCTACTGCGGAAAAGTATTTTTGAAAAACAAGAAGATTGCCCTCTTGAATTAGAAGAAATAGGAAAGAAGATTGCCAAAAATTGCAAAGGACTTCCTTTGTCAATAGTCGTGATTGGAGGACTACTTGCGAAGTCCAAGCCCACAAGAGAATATTGGGAATATATTTCAGAAAATTTAAACTCAATTTTACATTTAGAAGAGAATGAGCGTTGCTTAAAAGTATTGCATTTGAGTTATAATCATTTGCCGGTACATCTGAAGCCATGTTTTCTGTATATGGGAGTTTTTCCTGAAGACAAAAACATACGTGTCTCCTGGCTCGTAAAAGTATGGGTTTGCGAGGATTTCTGAAATCAATTAGCGGCAAAAGCTTGGAAGCGGCTGCGAGAGAGTATTTGGAGGACCTTTGTGACAGAAATCTCATTTTAGTTCATGAAAGAGGATTGAATGGGGGAATAAAGTTTTGCAAGACCCATGATCTCGTGAGGGAACTATGCTTAAGGGAAGCCGAGAAAGAGAAGTTCCTCTACGTCAGCTTACCACATGACCTTAACATTCCACAAGGAATTATAAATACCCAACGTCGCATTAGTATTTATCAAAGCGCGTCGGAGAAGGAATATCTCCCTCAAGCTCGTCATGCGTTGGAATGTATGAAGCTTGCCCGTTCTTTGATTGTCGGACGCCAAAGAGTTTTACCGTCACTTAATTATTTTAGATTGTTGAGGGTGCTGAATGCAGTTGATAAATATTTAGATGATCATGCGTTTTCCCTAGAAGCTGTTTTTCATCTAGTTAACTCGAGGTTCATTGCTATCACATCTGATAGGAATCAAAATGCCGATTTTCCTTCGTCGGTTCAACCTCCTTTGGAATCTACAGACTTTAATTGCCAAGGAGAGAGATGCTTTTGCACCATCTGAAATTTGGAAGATGACTCAACTTAGGCATGTTCAGTTCAATCAACTTGAAATGCCCGATCCTCCTCTCGATGGGAAAGACGAGTATGTTCTGGGGAACCTACGGACGCTCTCGAGAATAAGAAATTTCAAATGTGGAGAAGAGGTGGTTAAGAGAATCCCCAATATCAAGAAATTACAAATATGTTATCATGAACAATTTGACGGATGTTCAAGTTACTGTCTCGACAATCTTGTCCGTCTACATAAACTCGAATCGTTTGGCTGCTTCTTTTTTACTTGGAATCGGCCGAACCGGGACGATGTTTTGCGGAATTTCATCCTCCCTAATTCACTCAAGAAGTTGACTTTGCACAGGACCAATCTGTACTGGGAAGACATGAAGACAAAGATAGGTTTGTTACCCAATCTTCAAGTCCTCAAACTGAAGGCAAATTCCTTTGTAGGAACCGAGTGGGAAACGGTTGAAGGGCAATTCTGCAACCTTAAATTCTTGCAAATCTGCGACTGCAGTGATCTGGAACGGTGGACGACAGAGAGCGCCCACTTCCCACGCCTTGAGCAACTTGATCTGCGACACTTGGATAGGTTGGAGGAGATCCCGTCAGATATTGGAGAAATACCAACGCTTCAATCGATTCGGGTACAATATTGTAGCAAGGCAACTGTCATTTCTGCTAGAAGAATATTGGATGAACAAGAAGAATTTGACAACGTAGGCCTTCGGGTTCGAGTTGTCGCACGGAATATAAAACACTTTGAGAGCTTGGCTAGTCCCAACTTTCAAGTTGAAGTAATTTGGATGAACTAGTCTTCATTGATTTACTTACTTACATCAACCTTCTTTCATTCTTTTGATTAAATCATTAAAGGAAATAGTATAATGATTGGTAAGAATCTGCCAATCGGAGACGGACAAGCTCTGACACGGTGTCGGGCATGTAATGAAATTTCGTTTCGGTCCGCCAGAAGAGTTTGAAGTTTCTTCAAATGTACGTTCATGTTATTATATGTAAAATCAAGTGAGTCGAAACTCAAGTAATTGTAATATTTTGCGGTTATCTATAAAATATAATTTTGAAGTTGTGCTTCAATTTTATTCCTTATGATAAGACCACCTGATCCACTGATTTGATTCCCTTATGATAGAATTGTCATAATTATGGGTGCAAGTTGGAACGGAAATTCCAATTTCCGCCGGTTTCGATTTGAAAAGTTCCAATTTTGGAACAACTTTTTTTATTCCGACTTCGGAATTTTTGATTTTTTCGGATTGAAATTGGATTTATATATAAAAAAAATTGTAATCTCCAATTCCCGATCCGATTTAATTTTTAAAAGTAATTCTGAAAAAAATCCAATTTGTTTCCGAAAAATACGCCTATAAATAATATTTATTATATAATACTTCATTTAAGTTTTTTTTTTTTGGTGAAAAGTAATTTGATGTAAATTTTGTTTTAGGATTTTGACATAGAATTGTGTTAGATGTTTTATTGGATATTATGATTTGGTTTATTTTTATTTGTATTTTTGAACTGAAATTTAGCGGTTATTAGTTTTACTCTTATCGACGTTGATGTTCTTATTTTTGAAATTTTTAGAAAATTTCCGCTAAGTTTTGAAATTTTAAAATTTATGTGATTTCCGAAATATTCCGGACCTTTTGGAATTGGAATGAATTTTTAGATTCCAAAAATATTGGAATTGGAAGTGGAATTGATTTCGTACTTTCGAAAGTTTTTGGAAATTTTTCGAAAAGGCTAATTCCGATCCGATCCATCCGACTTTCACCCCTAATCATAATTAAGTATATTTTTGCCTTTTTGTCATTTTTCCTGACTCTTACTGCTGGGAAAGTAGAATCAAATGACAAAGAAGAATAATTAAAAAAGAAAGTTCATTTCATTACTGTGCATTTGGATTAAAAACATGTGATTTATTTTGTCCCCGAGAATTTTCGGAGAAACATTAATATTGCATGAGTATAGAAACATATAATAATGACCGTTGTCGTTTCACTTCCGTAACAAGATCGTTTTGCTACTGATCAATTTCTCAGCATGCATGGACAGATAGATATATGCTATGTTTTTATTTTTAGGATTAAATTCTTGGAAACAAATTTGCATACTTCTCTTTCTATATCTACTCTATGCATATTCATTTTTGTGTTTCCACTCTTATTTTTGTATTTAACTTTTGTTTGCTTCTTTTAACATCATTTCTGAATATGTCATAACTTTCTGATATCTCTGTATATCACATTAAATTGAAAGGCTTTAAGAAATCTCTCTCTCTCTCTCTCTCTCTCTCTCTCCCCCTTCGTTTTGTAGAGATGACTTCTTCTTTTATTTATTTTTCTGAGGGATTTGTTGTCTAGTTGTAAGCACGTATATCTAAAATCCCCTTTTTAATTCAGTCAACTTGTGAGTAGCATATCCGTTTTATTTTGATAAACAAATCTTCCTAAATGTTGACCAGAAGCATTGTTCTGAAAACCAATTTGATTACCTAGAGAGAGGGAGAGAGCTGGAGAGACAGAGAGGAAGAAGAAGAGAGCAAGTTAATTAGAGATGGCGGCCTATGCAGCTGTACTTTCTCTCAAGTATATCATCCAACAGATTCAGCTTCATCCTTGCCCTCCAATTTCTTTTGACCAAAACCAGGTTGATTCTCTCACCGACACCCTCAATTTCTTGCAAAAATTTCTCGAGCAGGGATATCCTTGTGTTGGCATCAGCAGAGAAGCAATAGATGTTTTTGAAAGTCGAATTGCAGATGCAGCTCATGTGGCCGAAGATATAATCGAAACCCGTGTTGTTGATCAAATTCTTGCTGAATCGAAAAAAATGAAGAATACTAGAATGCAAGACCGTCTGCGCAGAATTTTGTCCACTTTTTGTGGTGCTGGTTCATCAAGATCTCCTTCGACGAGGCAGAATGTTGTAGCTGGTTTAGATGTCATGGAAAAAATCAGTTCCGTTGACTTGTACCGAGATCTCGATAAGGTGATCCAAGACATTGGTTTAATCAAGAATGATGTGATGGAGATTAAAAAGAGTATTGTAATGGAAGATCATCTGCACATAAATTCTTCAACTCTTGCTTCATCAAGGTCTCATTTAACAACGAGGCACGAAACCGTGGTTGGTCTTGATGATGTCTTAAATGAAGTAATGGATAAGCTCACCGGACAACAATCTAATCTCCGCATAATCCCGATTGTTGGCATGGGCGGCATTGGTAAGACTACTCTTGCTAGAAATGCGTACGTTAAGTTTATGAAGCACTTTGATATTCGAGCTTGGGTTACAGTATCTCAAAACTACAATGTGCGAGAAATTCTTATAGAAATTCTTCTTTGTATAAACAAAGCTGAGAGCAGAGAAACCTTAAGTGCGAAGAGTGAAGGTGAATTAGGTGTAAAAGTACACCAAAGTTTATGGGGAAGGAGATATTTGATTGTAATGGATGATATTTGGAGTGTTGAGGTATGGGATAAAGTAAATCTCTTCTTTCCGGACAATGTTGGTCAAAGAAGTAGAATAATGATAACCACTAGGCTATCAGACGTTGCTTCGATTGGCTCTCATGGCGTTGTGATGGATTTCTTAAATGAAGACAAGAGTTGGGATCTACTGTGCAAATCTATATTAGAAGAAGAAGAAGAATGCCCTCCTGAATTGGAGGAAATAGGAAAGAAGATTGCCAAAAATTGCGAAGGACTTCCTTTGTCAATAGTTGTTATTGGAGGACACCTAGCGAAGTCTAAGCGCACAAGAGAACATTGGGAATATGTTTCAGAAAACATAAAAAAAATTGTAAATTCGGAAGACGATGAACGTTGCTTAAAAGTATTACAATTGAGTTATAACCATTTGCCGGTACATCTAAAGCCATGTTTTCTTTATATGGGAGTTTTTCCCGAGGACAAAAAGATACGTGTCTCGTGGCTCGTAAAACTATGGGTTTCTGAAGGATTTGTGAAACCAATTAAGGGAAAAAGCTTGGAAGTGGTTTCAAGAGAGTACTTGCAGGAGCTCTGTGATAGAAACTTGATTTTAGTTCATGAAAGGGGGTCTTATGGAAATATCAAGTTTTGCAAAATCCATGATCTCTTGAGGGAACTATGCTTGCGAGAAGCTGAGAAAGAGAAGTTCCTTTATGTCAAAAGACCGCATGAACTTACCATTCCATATGGCATAAGTACCCACCGCCGCATTGGTATTCATCAAAGCATGTCGGAGAAGGATTATCACCCTGATCCAGTCCTTCGTACGTTGCAATATGTGCCTCTTGTTCGTTCTTTGATTTGCAATTTTGAAGAACGTTTACCATTACTTGATTTTAGATTGTTGAGGGTGCTGAAAGTCGATGATAAAAAGTCATATTTCGATAACAACAGACAATACGAGTATTCCGTAGAAGTTGTCTTTCGGCTAGTTAACCTGAGGTTCATTGCTATCCGATCTGATGTGCTTAAAAAGTCCGGATTTCCTTCTTCAGTCAATCTCCTTTGGAATCTACAGACCTTAATTGTAAATGGTAACTGGGGCGTTGTTGCACCATGTGAAATTTGGAACATGACTCAACTTAAGCATGTTCATTTCGATCGACTTGAGCTGCCTGATCCTCCTATCGGTGGGAAAGATGACGAGTTTGTTTTGGGGAACCTACAGACGCTTACTCATATAAGAAATTTTAAATGTGGAGAAGAGGTGGTTAAGAGAATCCCCAATATCAATAAATTACAAATATTTTACTTTAAGGAACCTCAGGGATATTTGAGTTACAGAGTCGACAATATTGGCCATCTACATAAACTCGAGTCCTTGCGCTTCTCCCTTTATTCCCTAAAAAAGCCATCCGTGAACGATTTGGTGCAGAATATCATCCTCCCCAATTCCCTCATGAAGTTGACTTTGCACAGGACCTGTCTCAAATGGGAAGACATGAAGACAAAGATAGGTTTGTTACCCAATCTTCAAGTCCTCAAACTGAAGGAATATTCTTTTGTAGGGACCGAGTGGGAAACGGTTGAAGGGCAATTCCGCAACCTTAAATTCTTGCTAATCTACATGTGTAGTGACCTGGAATGGTGGACGACAGGCAGCAACCACTTTCCACGCCTTGAGCATCTTCATCTTCAGTTATTGGATAAGTTGAAGGAGATCCCTTCATGTATTGGAGAAATATCAACGCTTCAATCGATTCAGTTGATTTGGTGTAGCAAGTCAGCTGTCATTTCTGCTAAAGAAATACTGAAGGAACAACAGGATTTTGGCAATGTAGGCCTTCGAGTTCAAGTCTTCGACGAGTAGAGCAAGGGTTGTTCAATTTGAAACTTGGAGAGAACTCAATCTTCATAACATGATCCTTTTGCTACTGATCAACCTCAACATATATATATATATATATATATATATATATATATATATATATATATATATATATATATATATATATATATATATATATATATATATATATATATATATATATATATATATATATATATATATATATATATATATATATATATATATATATATATATATATATATATATATGTGTGTGTGTGTGTGTGTGTGTGTGTGTGTGATAATTTTATTTTTAGGATTAAAGTCTTTTAAACAAATTTGAGATCTTCTTTGTCTACATCTAGTCCATGCACATTTGATTTTGAGTTTCTACTTTTGATTGTTTCCTTTAACGTTTTACCGCCTTACATCAATATACAATGAACCTACGATTCATTGTTTCTTCTTGAGAGTCGTTTTAATGTTGAAGATACCTTCTTCCAGTCATTCATTTGGCGTGAAATTTTGACTCCGGTTAATTTAATGGAAGCATTTGTGTGATCTTGTAAACAACTTCTACTTTGGTTTTCTTTCATGTAAATTTCTCTTTGAGGCTTTATGTAATAGTTGGTAGTTGGTATTCAAGGATTGTAATATTTTGCCTTTATTTAAATCTTAAATCATTTGCATGTTGTGCTTCAGTTTAGTTGATTTTGTTGAGACCCAACCGCTCGATACGAGAAATCACTAAAAAAAAAAATGTTTTATGTGACGATTTATTGTGACGAAACTCAAATTCGTCACAATAGAGTAGAGATCTTATGACGAAACATAAATTCGTCTCATAAATAAATAATTTATGAGACAAAAAAAAATGAAAATCATCACATAAACCCTTTTTATGTGACAACAGGAAAAATCGTCACAATAGAATGCAGGAGATATTTTTTTCTTAACTGGCGGTCTCAATTATGTGACAACAAACATTTTCTTATGACAAAAGCAATTTAGTCACATTATTTATTTGTTGTGACAAAATGTACTTCGTCATACATAAATTAATCTAATTATTTATTTATAAAAATTAAAATTAATTCCCAGACTTTTTACGTTGTTACAAAATGTACTTCACAATAATCCCCATTTTTTCATTCTCTCACTTTTCCCCTTTCCTTTTATTAGATTATTTCTCTCGATTTTCTTCCCCTTTCCTTCTAGGTTTTGCGTCCACCACCACCACCACCACCACCACCACCACCACCGTAGATTTCCCTCCTAGATTTCACTTTTTTCAATAGCCGTGGTCTTCAGTGTCTCAGATCCACGATTAATCAAATTTCCGACCTCCCTGGCGATTTAGGTACGCGACTGGATAATTTTGCGGAATTTGGACTGGATTTCTCGTTTCAATTGCAGCTGTTCGGCTTCGAGTTCGGATTTTTCATTTTCTCGTTCGTGAAGAACTTTTGGCTTTTTAGGTATGAGTGCCTCCTTTTTCTACGAATTGCGGTTCTAATGGTTGGATTTTCTGGAATATGTGGAGTATTTTATCGACCTAGTTATTATTTGTTTGCTAAAAAATTTCGAAAAAATCTAGGGTTTTTGTGATATATTTCAGATACAAAAGGAATTATTTTGCCTATTTATTGTTTAATGTTCGTATAAATGGGATAATCGACTCTCGGGAATTACTCTGATATTTGTCTCGTGATAGGAAAAAAATATTATGCTTCTATCTGGTATTGGTGACTTGAATTTAGTGATTTTTGTTTGATATAAACCATGATTATTGGGTAAATTTTGTGTATAAGCATCTTCAGTTGCCGTAATTCAGTAAGAAAGAATCGTTTGTTGTGTATATTTTGGTTAACTTTGCACTTCATGTAGTAGATTAATTGTCAATTTCAAATCTAAAATTATTGACAGTATTTTGGTGAGCATATATATATATATATATATGCTGACCAGCCCCTCAAACTACTATCTCTCCAAGAAACACGCGCACACAGACACACATACACTGGGATTGTGTGTGTGTGTGGATGTGTGTGTGTGGTGGAGCTGAGTAAATGTATTTGGCATATTTTTTTCTTGTAATGCAGAGTACTGGGTCTAGGGCAGTAAACAAACCTAGGTACTCTTAGGGCAGATTACTCACCGCTTCCAAATTGTATTTTTTACTAATGACAACTTTCGTTTGCAGATTAAGAGGTTGAGGGAGATACAATGCCAACTTGATATCCGACTTAATTTTGCCGTAGAGGCCTCACTCAAGGTAATACAATTTCAACCATTCTTATACAATCTTCGTAGATAGTACATGAAATTTCAGCAATTTCAACCATATTTGAAATCTAAAATTGTGTGTTTCATATTTTTAGAATTTAGTTTTACGTCTGTCTGCAGAGCCACCTTCTTCTAAACAACTTGAAAACAGTTGGTTAACAATTTTATCTGATCTTACTTCTGTTATTTTTTTTGGCACATAATCGTGTGCTTGCATGAACTAATCATAATTTAAGTCGAAATATGGAGGTTTCAGATTTGTTTTCAGAGAAATGCACTAACGAAGCCCCTCGAAAAAGTAACAGAAGAGAGAAAGACGGGACAAATGATCCATTGTTCTTTCCCAGCTGAGTATTTATCATAATTGCCATTTAATCAATCTGTGGTCAAGCTTTATATTTTATTGCATCTATATTTGTATGTTTCTTTCACTTAATTTAGGCAACATGTATTGCGTATTTCTTCTCGGCCACCGGCTACTGTGATCACCGCATCCGAAGTGCTGAAACCAGAGCATCGCTCTCCCTGTATGGCGTCATACTGCCGGAAACTCTCAAGTCCTCTACTCTCCGGCGTCTCGGATTTCCCGATGCCGCCGCATTGCGTGCTAAGGATCTTGATTGTGCTGATGCCCCGTCGACTTTTCTAAATTACATCTCTGCCTTCGCTGATGAACTCAAATGTGAGTTTCTCTCTCTCTCTCTCTCTCTCTCTCTCTCTCTCTCTCTCTCTCTCTCTCTCTCTCTCTCTCTCTCTCTCTCTCTCTCTCTCTCTCTCTCTCTCTCTCTCTCTCTCTCTCTCTCTCTCTCTCTCCTTCAAACCTTGAATTGTTAGATTTAGATATGTAAGTACTTCAAAATTATACAACGAACAGTAGAACTTGTTGTTAAAAACAAAAATTGAAGCGGATATGTTATGATACTGTTGCTTGATTTGTTGATTTCACATATATATTTTATATAATACATGGATATATATACTTTATCAATACATGTTAGCATCTTTAATGGAATATTCTGCTAGAAAATGGGATCAACGAGTGCTTGAGTATGTTCAACAAATATAAATGAATTATATTGTAAGCCATGTGGTCTGATTAATACATTTGTAAATATGAAGATGTTCTTCAAGATGTGAATTGGCATCTATTGTTCATCTGTTTTGCATTGTTTGTTCTCTGTGATAACAGATTTTGATTTTTTCTATATGGACCAAGATCTTGGACATAATGGATTACTATTTCAGTGAAAGATTCATGGTTTGTTTCCTCTTGAAACATTTTCTATCGTATGCTAATTTGATACATTTGCAGTCTAGGAGGATTTATGTATCTATTACGCACTACGATTGTTCATAGCCTTCTATCAAAATGAATGAGATTTTGAATAAAGCAAACTGATAAAACCCCAAAGCTCTTAATCTCTTGATCTTCTGAAAAACCAAGTTGCTCCAAATTCTCCATTTGTAATTAACTTTCATTTACAGGTTCTTATAGAGAATTTTTGGTATCTGCACTTGTTGATCAGATGTTCTTTTATTCTGTTTAGTAAGCTTTATAGTGTGTTAATCATTTGTTTTTGTTATTCATGCAGAATAATGCTGATGGCACCATGTTACATGCCTTTGAAGACTGAAGTTGGCTGGTATCGTGTTTTTATGAATGTTAATGATCAGTGTTTTTATTTACCTTTTGAATAGGTAAGTAATTTTTTGATTCATCTCTTGCAGGTATGTTCTAAAGAAAATTCATCTCTCTAAGGAGAGAGAATTTTAAGAACAAATAGTGCCACAAAGTTATTTTTAAATACTTGCGTTCTTAAGTGTTTTGGAGTTGCGTAATTTTTTTTTTCGAGTTTGAACTATTTTGCTACTGCACAAACATATTGTCCGAGTGTTAGTTCTAATGCATGCCTGTCTATGTTTGCAGATGAGTTTAATTCCAAAGCTACGCCATCCGTATATAGTTGAATATAAAGATGCTTGGGTCGACAAGGTATTACGTTGTTTCATTAATCTTGATTTTTGTGTTTGAAAGATTTTCTAAATTTCTAATATATTTTCTGTAGAGAAACTGTATATGCATTGTGACCAACTAATATAAGGTCAAATGATATGTTCTACACCCTATATATACACACGAGTATATTTACGATAAATGATGAGAAATAATATTTTTGAATTTCAGCTAAATAGCAATTATTATATTTGCTTATCTTTTTATTTTCAATTTGCAGATTTGAAAGTGCAAAGACGGTTGTGAGGATGAAGTATATTGCTCCACTGAAGGAAGGAGGGTGTCTATATATTATGTAGTTTATTTTTTAATGTAAATTCCAATTTGATTTTATTGACTCATGTATTTTGTATGTGTAATTGTACGATATATTGCAATACAATTTTATTTTCAAAATTATTGTTTAGTTTTGCGGAATTGATTATTAGTTTATTTAATTTAAATATGAATATAAATATTATATAACAAATCATATATTTGTTATAATTTGTTTTTGTGACGAACTAATTGTCCCAATAGATATTGGTTCTCATGTGACAAAATACTTTGTCACAAGAAGTAAGTGAAAAGACTACTTCTTGTGACGACCAAAGGTTTTAGTGACGAACATATTATGTTTATGCGACGAATACTTCGTCACAACAATAGAACTTTATGTGACGAATTTTGCTTTGTCACAATATTTTGTGACGAAAACTTCAGTTTGTCACATATCACCTTT